TATAAGCTCTGCTTAAATTAAAAAACAAAATATAAATATATATTTATTTATCTCATGTGTTCATTTAGCACCCTATAAAATCGAATTTGTAATTACTAAATTTTGTTGGTTATATTTAAATTTATATTTAAATTTATATAAATGTAAAATATTTAGTTAAAATAAAAAGCAGATAACATAAAATTTGTTTATATATGTCTCATATAATTAGCGCAAAATTTAATATTGAAATATACATTTAAATAGAATTTACAAGGAAATAAACAAATTTCATGAATTTAATATATATTTCTAGATATATCACAATTACTGTCCTCCGCGATCTTTCTCTATTTCAACTAAAGTTTTTCTTGTTTATTTACTAATAAACAAAGCAACAAATGAAGAAATTTAAAATCCAAAATATTATCTGGTTGTCTCTGCAAAGCTATTTTAAGCAGTTACCGAACTAAACATAAGCAGCTCTCTCTCTCTGACGGCTCCTGCTTCGTCTGTGCCTTGCTACTTTCGCTGCGCTATAACCACTTGAGAATTGTATGGTTGCCAAGATAGTAAAAGTGAGTGAAGTCAGCGTCACACCAAATGCATGCATGTGGGACAACTGAAAGCTCGACATCGAACCAAAACTGTGAACTCACACTTATTTTGGTTTATTTTGGATAAGCGAAAATTTAGTCATAAATATACATGTATATAAAGAAGAGATTTCTATAAAAATTTTATATTCCTATATTTATATATATATAAATATACATACAAACACACTTTGTACATCTACCAATCACCTGTTGCTTTAAAGTATTGTATGGAACTCTGCAAAGTATGTATATATACAAATATATATATATATATATATATAAATTTAAATAAAAGCTACAAAAATATGTTAAGCAAATGAAGGCAAAATAGCAATTGCTAAGCTACAAGCCAGGCTAAACAATTTGCTCTTTCAATTTCCAGCTGCCTTTGATAAATATCCTGATTATGCTGATTATGCCTCTCGGCTGGCATTTTCCATTTTTCCCTTTTCCCATTTCAACTGTCGCACTTAACATTGAAAATGCACATTTCATAATAAATGACAAAGCGAATGACACAATAAAAAACTGCTTGAGCGCACACGGTAGGCAGGGTGGCTTGTGTGAGAGGGACAGATAGACAGAGGGAGACAGGAAGTGGGGAGAGCGAACTACACAGGGCACTGAGCATAGGCTTGAGTGAGCATTGCATTAGCTGTGAGCTGTGAGCTGTGAGCTTTGAGCGTCGCGTCGCGTCGCGTCGCGTTCAACTGAGCGAATGAGTGAATTTTGTTTAAGTCACTTTTTAGCCTGGCAACTTTTTTTCTGTTTTATCACACATACGCAGAGTTGGCACGTTCTAAATGTAGGTAAGTGGGTTTGTCTATCAAAGGTATGGTGGGCATAGATGTATGTGTGTGTATACATATAGACACATATTATGTGCATGTATATAGAACAGACTTGTTGTTGTTCTATGTATATATATAGGATTTTTTACACAGGATGTTTCTAATTGTATTTCTTTAACTATAAAATTGACAATTTCTACTCATTTTGTATTAATACTGCAATGCCATATGCTATGTATATAATATATTTATTTTCCAGGATATGCAATTATATTCTAGCTTCAATTACACAACAATTGAAAAGACAAAGCGCACTTTATAATCCACTTGGCACAGACAGTTCTTGTCTCATCTATGTATACATATACGTATGTCTGCTGCATCTATATACGACTTGAAGGCCAGCATTAAAGACAGCACAGGAAAAATTTGATACAGCACACATAAATATATATTGCGATATTTTCGTTAAGGTTGTATTCAGGTTTAATTAAATTTTAAAATATTTTTTAACTGTTTTACACACCAATATTGTTAGCACATTTATTTAAAATTTTTTCACGGTTATAGCTGAAGGAATGTGTTACGTGCGTAATCGATAAGCAAAGTTTTTCTACAGACAAATCGCGTCTTGCCTCTATACGCGCATTTGACAATTTGTTCAGCGCACACACAGTTTTCCAAGAGCCACGAAAACAACAACAACAACAACATCAACAAAAACACTCAAGAACGAAGAAAAGCGGAAAACGGAAAAGCTCGCTCAAGCGCGTTTCGTGTGCCTAAACCTAATGAGATTCGACAAGGCTGACATACGACACGACGCGAGGCGACTCGACGCGATGCCAGCAACACCGGTTAAGAGCGAGTTGCAAGCAATCAAAAGAGAGTTTTCTTCCCAAAAGAGCTAAGAATTTGGCGCCATAGGATTAAGAACATTTGAAATATCTTTCTGAAAGTCTTTCAATTAATTTTCATGAACTCTATAATTTTTCGTGAATTCAGATCTAAAGCAATGAGGTAGATCGTTCGCAGATCGCAAAGGATACGAATGATACGCGAGCTAATTCAGTATACGAAAATGAAGATGAAGAAGATAAAAAACAGAGAAAAATGTTAACAATAATCTTTATAGTATTATTTATTATAGAAATTAATAATAAATTAAATTAAATGTGTGCAAAAAAATATATATATTTAAATGTATATGTATAGTTATTATAAATAAAAGTGCTTGGCACTAAACTTATCTCGTATTGTATAGCTGAAATAGATGCTGCAAGAGCAAAATAATTGATAAGCATTTGCCCGTGTCATCAATCAACACTTAGAAGCTGTTGTTATACTATATACATATATAATGCGAATAAACCACTTGGAAGCCGAAGCCTTTAGGCACAGCTGCTATATCACTCACATGGTTTTTTTTGTTATTCAATTTCTAGAAAAACCAGAAATTCCCCTCAGAAAAAAATGTTTGTTTGAAGGCAAAACCAATTAAGATGATCTGATGACGATTTATGCTGATAAAGACTTTTACATAGATAGACTTGCAATTCTTTTTTATTTATTTATTAATTTAAAGTAATTTAATTTACTTAAAGCTAAACATTATGTTTGCTTTAAGCTTTGTTAAGTTTATTTTAGCTTTCTCTCATTATTTCCTGTTCTCTTTGCGTGTGTTCCCTGCTCCTGCGCATCAATTTAATTAAGCTTTTGCCAAAATAAAACTCAACTCCACTCAACTCAACTCAAATTGAGTATAAAAGTTCTCTTCACGCCGATTTAAACTTCTCTTTCCCATTCTCTTCCTTTGTATGCTCTAAATTAACTGTTTCAGATTTGCTTAACGAAGTAACCAACATGCATATACACACATGCAAGTCAACATACAAACATACTTCAATACACATGCACTCATACCTATCCCACACATACACATCCACACAAGGATACATTTTTCGTTCAGTTTCGTTCAGATCTTTCATTAAAATCACAATAACAATAAATCACTTAAACTCTTCAAGCAAAGAAGTTTACAATTGCGATCAATAAACGTAGTTTAATATTTTTGAAAATTCAAAGAAAAGGCTGCACAGTTATACAAACAGGTTTTTATATATAAATTTATATATATTCATTCAAGCTGTTGCTGCTGCCTTAGAACCTACCACACAGAGGCCAGCAACAAGTGGAGGCAGGCAGCGAAATTTTTATGGCTGCAAACTATGCGGGGGGATTTTCTTACAGTCGCTCCAGATGATAAGACAACGAGAAAAAAGACAAAAAACTGGGAGCAATGTCAGCGAGGGTGAATCACAATCAGAATCACAATCACCTAAGCCAACAACCTAGTCTCACATTGTGCTTCCCCATTTAGATGTAGCTGGTGTATATAAGCGCCAGCGATGGCATTTTGCAATCATCAGTAAACAGCAATAACTCAACGAAGCAACATGCAAAGCAGCAGCAGCAGCGTTCTCATCCTGGCCATTGTTGCCATTAGTGTTTGTGTTGAGGCCATGCCACAGCACTTCCAAACCCTGCCGTACTACCCACGACCAACGCCACCACAGCGTCCTATTCGAGTGCGCCGCCAGGTGTTGGGCGGCTCGATTACATCGAATCCGGCTGGTGGCTCCGATGCACGTGTAAATCTGAGCAAAGGCATTGGTTCACCCGATCACAATGTGATTGGACAAGTCTTTGCCGCGGGCAATACGCAAAAGGGACCTGTCACCACTGGTGGATCGCTGGCCTACAACAAGTAAGTTAAACGTAGCCCACTTCTTTATCAACTGTGTAGCTAATCAGGGATTTGCGCTCCACACAGTCATGGCCATGGATTTGATCTGACCAAAACCCACACGCCCGGCGTACAGGACAGCTTCATGCAATCGGCGCATGCCAATCTGTTTAACAACGGCAAACATAACCTGGACGCCAAGGTCTTTGCCTCGCAGAATAAACTAGCCAATGGCTTGGCGTTCCAGCGCAATGGCGCTGGCCTGGACTACTCTCATATCAATGGCCATGGCGCCAGCTTGACGCACAGCAACATTCCCGGCCTTGGCAAGCAACTGGGTCTGGATGCACGCGCCAATCTCTGGTCATCACAGGACCGCAACACTCGCCTCGATCTGACCGGCAATGCTAACAAGTGGACCAGCGGCCCATTCAGTGGCAAAACTAACTTTGGCGGCGGCTTGGGTCTTACCCACATTTTCGGTTAATTATTCACTTATATATATATATATATATATTTGAATATTCAAATTATTTATTACCGTTATATAATAAAGAAAACCATATATATAATAATAAAAAATTTGTAAATATAAAAATCAGACTGTTTATGAATTTTTAGAGGTGATTAGTTAAGATTGAAAGTGTTCTTACCCCTGAAGGCAATAGAAATATAAACAAAAAAAACAATTAAGTTATTTTTGTATAGATTATACGGTGGGTGTTTTTGTTTAAAGGATTTTCCCAGAATAATTGTGATATTCGTCTTGTTTTTCTATCCGTTTTATTATTAGTTAATTGAATATTTTCGCTTATTATATCGCGCACACTCTTTTACTTTTGGATAATTAATTACGCTTAGAAATATATTATGGTTTACACATTATTTTTACTGCTATTACCACCAATACATGTTTATTATTTTTTTTTTCAGCTGTTACTCGTATCGAAACATACAAAGATGTGGTTATAACAAAGTAAATGATTTTTGAAGAGTACCGTTGAGGGAATTTTTTGTTTCAGAATACGTGGGAATAACCAAAAATTGTCTTCTAACTTCGCAGATATTAATCAATTGTTGATGCGTGGATGTAAAGGGAGGGGCTACGCAGATTCCATTTGGAAAGAGCTTATGACAGCTTCTTGGCCTTTTGATACAGTGTATCGACCACCTTGCCCATGCTCTGTATGGTCTCTAGCACACGCTCATACGTTTTATCCACTGGCGTCTCCTCGAAAACGATGAGCACGCCCTCACCTTGATCCAAAATGCCGCTAAATTTTTTGTCCAATATCATTTGTGATAGCTTCTTTTCCACCTGTGACATGGGCAGATTAATGCTCTCAGCCACATGGGACACCTACAAAATGTACCCGAAGATGTATTCATTTCATTACAATTGTATATACAAATGTCTAACCTGTACACGCGAATATGGCTCGATAATGCGGCAAAGATTCTGCTCCAGCATTGTATCATATAGCGTACCCAAATGTGCCTGTACAATAACATCTTCAGCTAACTCCTTATTGTAGTCCTTCAACGCCTGCTGAAAGTCAGCTAGCGAGCGCTTATGTGATGCCTCCGCCACGGCTTTCATGGCATCAACATCGCGGCCGGAATAGGTTATAGCCTAATGACAAATGGAAATAAGTTAATATCACAAAAATTATTGAATATTGTTTATTGTTATTACTTACCAACTTGCCACTAACTATTTGATTCACATCATCCGACTGTCCAAGCATAATCTTACACAACAACATATACTTCAGTGAAGTAAGCGCCTTGACGTTGTCAACGCTGTCAAAGCCCTCAAATGCCTCATAGAAATAGGAAAAAGCTGTTTTAAAGTCACGCTCGTCGGCTGCATGAAGAATGCCGGACTGGAGATCGAGGGCGCCCTGAACCTTAGGGGGACAGTAGATTGCATTTGCCGTAGTGCGCGCTGAAGTTAGGGCGGCACGTGCCTTGGGCAAGTTACTAAGTGCATGATAGGTTTTGCTTTCTAACAGCTGCACCTCGACAAGCAGGTTTTTGTCATCTAATTTCTTGAGCTCACGTAATAGCTGAGAGCCCAGGGCAAGTGCCTCCGTATACAGAGCAGTGTCAAAGTAGAGTGCAATGAGGCGAGCTTCCAGCGATTGGCGCAAGAAAGTGCGCTTCTCCTGCTTTGCCCACTCTATACAGTCTTTGCACAATTGAACCTGTAACAAAAGCAATACTAATTGGATTACACATTATAAGGACGCATATATATGAGCAACACACCTCAATGCCAGTACCCGCATCCATATCAAGGAACATGTCGACCAACGAACGCACCAACTTCGCGGCCTTTGCCTTACTGATCAAGCTCAAAAATGGACGAGTCACTTTGATGAGGTCGGCCAATTCTTTGGCCTTGCCCTCCTGTTTGTAGAGCTCCCCGAGCTGCATAATACCCTGTTCCTTGATGCGTATGAGCTCCTCATCGTTTTCAGCTACCTCTTGTTCACGCACTATTTTATTTAGCAAGGTAATACCCTCTTCACGATTCACACTAGACAGCGCCTGGGCACGTTCGAAAAGTGTAGCTCCGGCCATTTTGCTACTGCTGCGGCGACGATTGCAAGTTGAAAATTGGAGGTTGAGTTTTTTAAACACACGCGAAGGCAAATCAAATAAATAAATGTGTATTAACTAGTTCACTATTCAGATGCAACTTTGCTTTTGAGTTAACAGTTACGCTTAAATGTATTTAATGCGTATTTGTGTGTTTTCTCACACCTTTTGTAGTATGCTGATTTCAGTTGTCGTTGTTATTAAGCGCCAGTCACGATTCGAGATGTGTGACTGACGATAGCCACGTAACGATGCCTATCGAATGATACTTTGTGCAAAACTTCATATATAAAATCTATAAGACTGGTATTTAATTGCTCCACACCTTATAGAATTGAAATCCAACGAAAAAAGTGTATTTATAAAAATAGCTCTTGTTAAATCAAATAAAATTAAAAAGTTTTTAGCTCAAAAGAATAATATACATGGCGGTCGACAATAAAAACAACAAATAAGTTTTGGCTCAGAAATATCGATAGATATCGCCAGCAATCGTAAAGAGATCGAAAATGGAAAAGTGTAGAAGTCGAGTTGTTGCCTGACACAGTTTGGATGCAAAAGAATCTACTAGATAGACCTCTTTATGCACTTTCAAGAGTTCAAGCAGATATTATACAAGCACCGCAATAATGGGTGAGGAAACTGGCAATGTAACGCAAAGCAAGGTGCGCTCCAAAACGACGAGACCCAAAGCTGTTTACCAATGGACTGTCGCTGACGTACAGAAATGGTATGACCGCCATTGCGGAGAGTATGCGAAGTACGGAGTACTATTTAAAGAAGTAAGCACCAACTATATATGTATATATATTATATAATAAGAAAAGAACTTACCAATGCGGTTCCTGATTCTTTTTGTTATAATCCCGAAGCACTTGTGCCATATTCGCCTGTTGTTCTCAGCTTCCAATTCAACAAGAACAACTAGCAATTTATCAATAGCCAACGTCTATTTATTTGAATTTAAATCTTGTAAGCATTTGGCCTACTAATTACCTTTGCTAACTCTCTTTTTAGCATGACATTACCGGTCGAGCTCTGCTCCGCATAACAGATTCATCACTGCAGCGAATGGGTGTCACGGACAATCGAGATCGTGAGGCCATTTGGCGCGAGATTGTGAAGCAGCGACTCAAGACAGATTTTATGGAAATACGTGATATGGAGCGTCTCAATATGCACTAATCATGGCAACTGGAGCTTGCCATGGCCACTGGTACTCATTAACATAATACTGAACGATCTTAGCGATGAGAATCATTGAAAGATGACCGTTCGAAGAGGTATTTGCACTTGAACTAAACAATGTTCGTTAGATAAAAATTATATTTAGGACATTGTTGGAATGTCGAGTGGATTTAATTTTAAGGAACTATCTTAAATACATTATCAGTAAAGTGTACATCATATTTAGATAGCAATAAACATTTTAGAGTATAGTTTATTTGAGTATTCTCTTGGTAACTTCGGTAAAATCCAAAAAAAAATTGTCGACAATTAGCAATCCTTCTCCAGTTTGGGAGTGATAAGCTGTACATCATTAATATCTGTGCAAATATCTACTGTCTTTGTGGCGATGGAAGCAGATGCTCCAGTGGCGCTACTAGATGCCGAAGACGCAGTCACAGGTGTTCCAATGACCTTCGGCAGCGAAGTGCCCAACGTGCTGCTTGGGGTGAGTATGTGGGGCATGGACAATGTGCCATTGGCCATGGGTAGTGCGGTGGTGAAGAGCAGCTTGGGTGGCTGTAAACGCTGTGCCGCTGAGGCTGCCGTACCAGAGACTATGAACTGTGGCGACTGATGCGTCGCTCCTGGCTGAACGACACTTGCGGCAGCAGCAGCTGCTGCTGCAGTGGCAACTGTTGGCTGCAACAATGTCGGCAGCATTGTGAGCAAACGTTCACCTATGGATTTTTCCCAGTCCAGACGTTCCCGCTCCAGGGATAGGCGGTTGTGTTGTATCTCATTGGCCTCGTTTTGGGCGTTGAGCAGCTGGCGCAGCATTATCCGCATAGCTAGCATGGGAAAAACGAATGATTAAATTGAAAAATAATTATCAATAAGAGGACTGTCAACCGACTCACTTGTCATGTGCCGCTTGGACTGTTGCTCCTCGCGCAATATTTCCTGTGCGCGACGTTTCTCTTCCTTTTTCTCCAATTGCTGATTTTGCTGTTGCTGCTGCACCTGCTGCTGTTGCTGTTGCTGTTGCTGCTGCTGCTGTTGCTGCTGTTGCTGCTGCTGCGAGTGCTGCAGTTGCTGCTGTGAAATGTAATCCGCTTGCTGCTGTAGCTTCTGCTGTTGCGGCTGTGGCAGTGGCAACGTTGCACTGGTAATGCCAGCAGTGCTCGGCTTGCCCACTGCTGCCACGGCCTTTGCCGCCGCCGCCTGCTCCGCATTCACCAACACAAACTTTACGCCGCCAGGGCCCGTGACAAGACCTGAACTCGGCGTCGCTTGTACGGGTGTTGGAGCGGAGCCGCTGATCATCAAGCGTGCGCCCTGATTAATGGCGCTTTGCAGCAGCTGCAGCTGCGTCCCAGCTGCTGCGGTAACAGTCTTGCCAGCTGTCGCATTATTTGCCTGCTTCGGCTGCATGAGGAAATTTGTGGGCACCAAGGAGATCTTGCCCGGTGTCAGCTTACCACTGGACGCACTGCTGCTTGCCGTTGTGCTCGTCAGCTGCGATACGCTGGTGCTGATGCTATTAGCTGGTATGATGACATTGGCACCGCTATACGGTAGCAAATTTGTGGTCTTCGGCAGCTGCAACATGTCCGTAAGTGTTGGCATCACGGGACGCGTGGGCGTGACTACATTTCCATTGCCACTGCCATTAGCATTGCTAGCAACTTTCGGCGATACGGCAACGGGCTCCTCAACGGCATCTACATCGATTGGCTCCTCTTTCGGCAGCGGCAATAGCATGCAATCATCATCCTCTTCAGGATCAGCGGCCGCTACAGGTGCCACTGCGGCTGGAACTGCGGTTACTGCTGTGCTCAACTCAGTCACTGGCTCCGGCTGGCTGGCTGGCTCAGTTTTAATGCGAGGTTCTGTTGCAGGTGCTTCGTCATCTTCAACATCTTTCTCGGAGGTGAGCTTGCGCCGCTTGGGAGACACATCTCCCGTGTCCATTTCCACTTGCAAATCGGCTTCGTTGTCACCTAACCCATCGGGTTTCGACTTACCGTTAGTGCCATTGGGCACCAGGGAGGAGAGTAGAATGTCGTCTTCCTCGTTTTCACTGTCAGACAACTCCTCACCATTCTCTTGGCGGCGCTTGCGACGCTCGGCATGTTCCTCCAATGCCTGCTCCAGTTGGTATTTAAGCGAAGGAGCCGGCACCTCGTTGGGACGCACACTGAATATGGGACGCGTCATAATCGCATCCATTTCGGCAAAATGTTTCCAACTGGGCTCCGTGTCGCCTGACATACCGTACTCCTTGTCCTTCTTGAGGCGATTGTAGAAACATTTCAGATTCTTGATGCGCGTCGTGATCTCCTCCGGCGAACGATGGTAGCCATATTCCTGCATCTTGGCCGCCAGCTGGCAGATGACCGCATGCTTCTTGTGCGTCGTTATCAAAGTACGCTGCAGCTTCGGATCGCCCCACAGCTGGATGAGCAGCTTGGTCTCGTCCGTATCGAAATTGGGATTACGTCCAACGAAATTGTGCTTCTTATTGAGATTCTGATTAGCATTTGAGTTGCTGCCGCTGGCCGCGCTGCTGGCATTGCTATTGCTATTGCTATTGCTGTTGTTGGGAACACCAACAGCGCGTTGACTGCTGATGGCAGCAAAGGAGCCGGAGGATGGGGATGCCGTCGCAGCTGCAGCCTCCGCTGAGCGTCGTTTCTTTATCCGTGCACTGGACTTAACGCTCATTGTACCACCTGCAAGCTGCATACAATTGTATTGCAATTATCTTTTGGTCGAATCAACTACTGAGTCACTTACCTCTTATAGATATATTTCGTATGCAATGTTGGCGCAAAAATCAATAAACGAGCACGTTGCGTTTGGAATTAAACCATTTGAGGTGCCTTAAATCAATCCTGTAACAACAACAACAACAAAAGAGAACTTTACGCTACGTCTGACAGTCGGCAAGTGAAAGGCAAGCATTGAAAGCGACTACGGCGCAACTCCAGGGCAACAACAACCCCTAAAGACGGTAAGCGTGCCGCGGTGACAAGCAGCTCGCCTACCTACCAACCCACCAAAGGCCAACTACCCGGCCCTACTCAGCCCAACCCCAAAGCGAACACAGCTAAGCCAAGTGCACCACCAACAGAACAGGAAAACCAACAGCAACAACAACAATATAAACGCCCAACTACGTAGAACATGCGCGATAGCTCACTTGCTGCTCTCGCTCGCTTACGCTTACTCGAACTTGTTGTCGCTTTCTCTGTCACACCCACGCAAGTAGAAATTCGTGGGACGACGAGGACGAAGTTTGTCTTGCGCAGTGGCAATTCTTATAGCGACTTAGGGTATTGATTTGTTACCAAAGATGATTAAAATCCTCATAAGCGTCTATTAACTAAATAGTTAAGATATTAGAGCACTAAAAATAAAAAAGTTCTGGTATAGCATTTGAAAAATGAATACTAAGTGTAGCTAGGACAATAAGTTGTCAATTTAGTTGAAATGTCTGTCTAACAGGACATTGACACGAGATCTGCGCATAACACTTTGCAGGACATGCGCAGTTGAGTTCTCAATTGTTGAGTAGGTGAGAGAGCATAAGAGTGCGAGAGAAGTACTGCCTGAGCGTGCGTATAACGGTATTGTTGGGGTGCAACAACGAAGCAGCAGACTTTATGTTAAATGTTTATAACACTACTCGAAAAGGCCGTGAAAATAAAATTACTTAAGCTACATTTTACTTTTGATAAACATATTAGTAATTTATCTTACTAGAAATGAACTTACTACACTTAAGAGCACGTATATTGGTCGTGCGGCCGCCCCGCACTCAGATTAAACAATTTGAATATGAAATGAACGGCACTGCCAGCAGTAATTTATAAAAAGGCTTTAAGCCAGAGTTGCCATCTTTCTGACTAGAGGTCACACTTCGTAGAGAATGCCAAAATACTCTGCTTCTTAGTGTTTTCAATCAGCTGTTAGCATTTGCTCTTGTTGCCCAGCACAAGTTCAGTTTTGCAACACAATAAAATGGTTTTAACGAAGGAACAGGAGGCATTCATTTGCCGCAAGCATGAGCAGACACTAAAGCTGCGTAACGAATACCTGAAGCAGAGCTCGAACCCTTTTCGTCATGCTACCGGTGAGGGCGGCACTGTGGTAAGTACAAATAATGGTTATGTCATCACTTGCCAGCATTTTGGATGCATATAATAAATATTTACTTAATTGCAGTTCGATGCTGGTCTAGCTCGCTTCCAAGCCATGCGTGTATCAAACTATGAGCATTTCCGTCCCACCGGACACTCTTTCCGCACGGGTCTCTTTGCCGTCGTACTGCCCATTGCTATATACGCTTGGATGCTGAAGAGCGAACGCGATTGCCGTGAACAGAAATATCGCACTGGCCAGGTGGCCTACAAGGATCGCAGGTTTAAGTTCATTTAAGGCTCTCAACTCAGACAATATTGAGTAATCAAATTAAAGCGAAATTGTAATAACATACATTTATCTTTGTAATTAGTAATTATTTTTATTTAATTTAAGAATATTCTATTTTTCCTCCATTTGCTTGTCGCGCGCTATGACAAAGTCCTCAAACTTGACCATATATGTGGTGCCCTTATGCCAGTGGGCTGTTACTTTGCACGGCTGAAAGAGTTAACATGTTTTATATAAATCCTAGTTATATTTAAGGAGTGTAACTTACAAATCCGCAATGAGTTAATACCGCTTCTACGATGCCAGCCGTAAAGTTGGCACAATTCAGGGAGCTTTTGTCTTTGGGCACACTTATGAATGTGTTCACCAGTGGTTCCTTTTCAATAATGTAGTATGTTCGTTCGTCGTCGTTGGCATGTTCCAATTTCTCGGCCTCCTTGCCGAACAAGTTCTTCCATACAGTTGTCTTCACAAAGAGCAGCATTTGCGTCAGCTTCGTCTCACGTTTGGAGCTGCGTTCGCGCACAAAGTATAAATCAATGATGCGTGTGCCCACATCCTGACCCAAATCATGTAATCTAAACGACGTTGCGTTATTTCAATTCAATTAGTCTAAATGCCAATCCTAAATACCTTGTTTGCAATTCTGGCACTGTGAAAACTCGACTCTGGGAGTATTGTACAATCTCGCTAAAAAGCAACGCTACAATGCTGTGTGAGACCTCGGACTTGCCCTTTGATAGTGGCCGATCCAGTATATTACTGCGCGGACGCATTGAAGAAATTTTAAGCGCTTCAAGTTTTTCCATTTTATTTATTACAACGAAGTAAACAACACCTTGAAAAAAATGAATTTGTCAACAAAACAGCTGTTTCGCGGGCTGCCAGACTATTATTTTGGTAAAAAAATTCCGTACCGATGTGAATGACAACTTGTGTTTTCTAACGGCTGGCTACACCGATTATTTAAATCTACCGTTATTGCATACATTTACATTTTCTCGGATTCTTTATATCCAAAAGCTCCACTTTGCTCCAATAATCAGGTGGCTGTTGCTGCAACGTTGTTAAATAAGACTCAAACCGCTTAAAATCGATGTCGCGCGTATGCGGACAGCAGATGTGGTGATAATACGGACACGCCTCATCCACTATCCAACATCGAGACTGCTGCAAATTCTTAGTGATGCTGTCGTAATCTAAAATAAACCCCTCCTGTTTTTGCTCGTACATCTTTGAAGTAATCTGTGAAATGGACTGATTGATGAGAGCATCAACATTGGACGAATTGAGCAGCTCTCTGACTAGATTATGAGTCTCCACGCGTCGCACACACAGCAAATACCAAAGAGGCATCGAAGGGAAACGAATGCAATTGATCAAGCTTTGCACATTTGATTTTCGCCTCTGCCAATCGTGTCCAAGCCAGCGTACAATAATAAAAAGTATCTGTATTGCTAATAAGATGCTAAATATAATGACAAAACTTATATTATTTCAACTACTGACCTCAACTTCACTGTTTACACAGATTTCATTTGACGAGAGAAGATAGACAAGATGCTTCAGTGGCACTTCTAAAAAATCGCTTGTTGCCACAAAGGTGAGCAGGAACTTTTGTATTCTCGTGAGCATCAAATTGCGCACAACATCGAGTGCCAAATTGTTTTTCGATTCAACATACATGACACAAGCGGAGGCCTCGTTAAAGCAGTTTCTATCATCGAAATACTTCCAGCAATGGAACAGCAAGTCCTTAACTCTCAAATAAGTAGCTGCCACAAACACGGGAATAATGTTTTTACGCTCCAAGCTAGGCTTATCGCTGAGCATCCACTTGTAGACAAGCATAAAAGCTTTTTGTGACACCTTCTCCTCTGGCAGCGTCACAACGAGCGGAATTGGATTGAGTTCCATGAAGTACTTGGAGTATGCCTGTAGCACAATCAAATGGCAATTGAAATACATTTTATTGATCTCTATCTTGACGGTCGTCTTCAAATGATTTTCCACCATATAGCGTAAAACGGACTTAAAGGGAATTTTTGTTGGTTGCTCGATGCTCATCCAATCACGAACATCTTCAAAGTTATGTCCGAACTCAAACAGGGAACGATTCTTTGCAATATCTGCAGATTGCCGTTTGAAAACATGTTCGAGCTCCAAGTCTTCAGCTTTCGAGACCAATTTTGTCACCGAACCAAGTTCATCTTCGGATGAGCTTCCCGGACTGAGCCCGGGACTTATTATTTTCATATTATATTAATATGTGTAAATATATGCCTCACTATATACATATCGCTCTCTGATTCATTATACCAACGTGCAGTTGCTATATCACGAAATCCCTCTGCGCTGACAAATATTTAAATTTTCGCGCGCGCTCAATCAGAGCTCTCCATTAGACAAATTCAAAATCGTTTTAAATATAGAGATACGCTTATGAGAGATCGACAGCAGCAAGAAACAACAAAAATGTAATTTAAGGGAAAGCTAAAGATAAGACGTTTATCTGGCCCGTTAGCACTAAACTATTGCGATTATGCTCGTGGAGAGTGTAAGAAAAGGAGAGCTACATTTTTTTGTTGTTTCCCACCTATGTATTGTATGGTTAGTGATGGCACTTACTTGACAAAGTGCACGCTGCACGTGAGCTCACCACTGGCTGGTTGTGCCTGGGTCTGGCCTAATTCTTCATGTTTTTTCATTACTTGGTCCATCTCACCGAATCAGTTTATCGTGTGTTTTCATCAAAATATTTATTTTTTTGTGTGTTGAATAGTAACACTAAGCTTTGACGCGTATAATTACAGCAGGAAATATAAAACTCCTAAGTGTTTGAGACAGATTGCAAAAAACGCAGGGAACATAAATCGGGCTGACATGCCAACAATGCATTAGAGTACCCTTAAATAAAATAAAATATATTATGAACTTGACACAAGCCTTACTTTATCAAAAATTCAAAATTAATTTTATTAAGGAAAAAAATTTGTTTGCATCGGCCGGGAATCGAACCCGGGCCGCCCGCGTGGCAGGCGAGCATTCTACCACTGAACCACCGATGCTTTGATTCGTCTGTTAAACAACTCGCTATATCAGAAAACAGCTATCTTTATTTGCACAGATTATGTTACTTTTTCATATTCATGTGCCAGTATAGGAAAACATAAATGCATACATTTACATACACATGCATGACGTTGCCAGACAGTTGCAATAAGAAAATAATTTGTTTTTGTTTATTAAATTGTGTTTTATTTGTTTGTATTTTTCTTTTTCACATTTTCAAATACATTTATATGAATAAATATATCATTTATTTTGTTTACTTTTTAATGCCATCTTTTATATGCGGCTACTTATACATAAATTTATGTGGTTTTCATTTCATGTACTGTAAATAACCAAAATATTGATTGAAAATTTTTGTTATTTTGCTTCTTTTTTTGGTGTTCAACAAATTGCTGCCATTAACTATTAATCTCTAGAATATTTATTTTGTTGTTGTGATAATTTGTTAATAAATAATGTAGCGAAATGTTTACTATTGTTGCTGACTTCTAGTTTGTCCGTTTTTTTGTGTTTTCGTTTCTTTCATTTTTTTGTTGCGCATTGAAAGTTAATATGTTTTTGTTTTTTGTTTTTTTTTTTTTGTTTATTTATGCACAGTTAAAATTTGAAATACATTTAATATATATACTTTATATTTGTTTTTGTTTTTGTTTTTTGTATGTTTTGTATGTTGGCATGCTTGTGGATCATTTTACATGTTAAAAATTATTGTAGCTTTAACTAAATAATAAAAGTAATTTAAAATTAAACATGTATATTTAACATTTTGTACTTTTTGTTGAGTGTTTGTTCTTTGTTCAAAGTTTTTTATTTTTTGTAGTTTTTTTGTTTTTGTTTTTCTTTTTGTGGTAGGTTTACTTGATCTAAACAACTTTTGTTCATTTTGTTTTTTGTTTTTGTTTTTTTTTTTTAGATACAGCATTTGCATTTTTACTAACAATTGCCCACTTAAAGGTTTTTGTTTTTAATATATTTTGTTGCATTTGTTTTTTTTTTTTTGTTTTTTAATGTGTGTTTGCACAACCTTTGCTTATTTTTGAATAAATATGCATTTATAGTAAGAAATAAATTAATGCTTTTTTATTATTATTAATTTCATTTTTAATACACAAAAATTACTTAGGTTCTTTGCACATAAGTAATTCATTTTTCATTTCTTTTTGCATTCTTTAATACGTTTTATACACATTTATATATGTATATATATAACTGCATATATGAGTTTTTGCTTTTTGTTTTTAAGTATTTTGTTGAAGCCCCATTTATCAAATGAGTTAATTTACTCACTTGCATGGGTTAAATTACAAATTGTTTTTATTTAAAGGTTTATTTAAGCGATTCAGCCGCACAACTGCAACAATTTTGTGTTTTCATTACAACATTTTAATTTTTTTTTTTTGTGTTTTTATTGCATTAAATTAAGTTTTGAAATCAGGATCGTGTGTTTTTTGCTTGCAAAAGAAATATTTTGAATCTTCATGAGCCCTAAGAAGAGTCAAAAACATTCTTTTTTAAATGGAACAAAATATTTTAAGGTTTTTCAAAAGAAATGTGTTTGAATAAATTGAATTCTTGTTGAACAATTGAAAACGCAAATTGCTGCAAGTTGACGTTGTTCGCTTTGAAGGTTTAAAAACAATTTGTAGTTCTTAATTAAGTGTTGTTGTTTTTTGTTTATTTTAGTTTTAGTTTTGTTTTACGCTTTTCTCTTTCTTTTTGTTTTTATTGTATTTTGTTTTCTCTTTTTTTCCCGCAACATTTTCATTAATTTCAATTTTTTTCCATTTTTGCAGCATTTAGCGCAAATTATTTTTACGGCGTAATAATTTCATTGAGAGGGGAAAACGTTCCGTTAAAACTATAAACGAATTGGAATTACGCACAAAAATGTTTATATTGGCATCTAGATATATCCTTCACGCCTGACATTGGCTTTAATACTGTTCTCCAATTTCAAATTGTAAACAAAATGTAAGTAGCAAAAACTTAACGAACTAAAAATCAACTACAATTTATATGATACGAATATGCATTTATATACATACATACATACACACATATATATATAAGCAAAGATACATATATAAAAAACAAATAGCCCGGTTTTTACAAAAGTATAATTAATAAGTAAGAGTTCTAAATATAAATTACAATTATTTCAATGCTGAATCTGATAAGTGTGGATGTCAAATGGATTCATAGATGGTAAGTGCAAGTGGTTTACCTGCTCTACTATATACAATAATCTATGGCAAATCATATGGTGGTGTATAATAAAAACGATGAAAACCCAAACAAACTGGCAAATGAAAAGAATGATAGAATAGCAGAACATAACAGCAACTGATCTCTCGTTGTCATTTAGTCAGTTTCAAAATAAAAGCCTACCATAATCGTTCTGAGCTGCCTTGTTGCTGCGCGGCTGCATCAAATACAGCGGCTGCGGCGACTGCTGCTGGGGCGCGCCCAGACTATGGGAAAGTTCCCAGTTATAAAAATGCCTTTGAGGCTGCGGTTGCAACTGCGACTGCCGCTGCTTGAGTCGCAATAGTTGGCTCTTATATGTATTCTCGTCAGAGTGAGGTTGCTGTTGGTTTCTGGGCCTGGTGCTGGGGTCGTCATCGTACTGTCCTTGCAATCTAGCCTCCAAATGTCAGACATGTGGTTTATGGCGAGCTCCGCAGAGGCCGCATTGTATGCCCATCCAGTGGCATGCACGCAACGGCGGATAGCACCATAGGCAGGGAACGAATAGGGACAACAGCGCCAGGCCCAACCAGCGCTTGGTGCACCCCGCTTCGCTAACGCTACAATCACAAGGATGCTGTGCGGTCTCACCCTCGGCATCGCTCATACAGTGATAGATCATACAGCGTGCACAGCCCATGCCCGAGATGCACTCGTAACCGCTGCGAAACGGATCTGGCGCATACTCGCATGCGCCACGCCTATTGAACTCTTCGCTGTACAGCTCATGACAGTAGCGGCAACGCAGGCGCGTCTCCTTCTTGAGTATATCCGACACGTTGGGTTTGTGCAGCGGCTTATTGGCTCCACCTGCCGCCGACGTCTGCGCAGCGGCCATCGCCTGTGCCGCCTCCAAAGCATTGCGCTTCTTCAGAGCACTGATTGACTCGCGTCGCGCATTCAGCACCTGTGCGCCAACTGGCTGCTCCACAACCGGATAGTTGTAGTCATGGTGTACAGCCGTCAGCGTTACATACGAGTAATTCTCGCTGGGCGCTATCTGACCTGCAGGTGGAGGTGGCGGCGGCGGCCCATCCATTGAGCCGCCAGCAGTGTTGCCGCCGCCGGAGCCCGGAGCCGATGATGTTTTATCCGTCGATATGTAGTGTATGGTAGCCGCTGGTAGTTTCTCTGAATCGGAATTGTTGCTGTAACTATCCTTATGGCGCTCGCTGACGCTTTCTGCAAGAAATGAATTGGTTAACGTCAAATAAACAATTTAAAAGAACTTCAGCTGCATTACTGTGACTTTTTTCGCTGCCTTCGGGGCTTGAATGTATCTTTTGTAAACTTTCGCTTTCCACAGGTAAGTCCAGGGTCTGTAAAGTGCGTATTTGGGCAATTAGCAATGATTTTCATAAATTTTTGATAAACATTTTCAACTCACCATGAATACATCATCTTCACCAACCGAATCATATTTGGTCAATGGTGGGCATATTATAGTGGGATTCGATTTGGCCAGTCCTACACATATATATGTAATGAAATTGATTAGTTATATCAAACAGAGGTTAGCTAAGCACACGCTAAATCGAGTACAAGGCACAAAGCAAATCAAATATGAAGCATTAAGAGAGCATTGTCAATTTTTGTTGAAGAACAGCATTTATAATATACAGAGTTAATTGAGAGTGTGTTTAAGCAATTGTAGTTCACAAAAATTTCATTTACTGAATGTTTTTCATCGATGTAAACTAGTTTTAAAGAATAATTCTACAGATTTTCTATATAGTTGGTTTGCGCTGCAATTTTCTTTAGTGTTCAATGGAAATTCGATAGTTGAAAACTGATCAAATGCATCTATATAACTGTTCAGTTCTCATAATAACCGGTCTGCTCGAAATGTATTGCAAATTTTGTGTTTTCTTTACACTTTTGTGATCTTTTTCAGCTGTTACTTCAATGCCAATCTCAATCATAGCGTCCTTTTGGAAAAGCCTACATATACTAAATATTCGCAATACTTTTTGAACAGACCTCGTGCAACGAAATGATTTTGGAGTTATTCAGGAAATTTTATTCTTAATATAGATATATGATTAATTTTAAACTCTTCTCATAAATATATATAAAATTTTATATTAAATATTTATGGAATAATAATTTTAAAAGTGAACTTTTAGTAAAAAAGTGAAAAAAGCAGCGCACACACTCGTTTAAAAAAGAAACCTCCTTAAACACTTACCAATTTTGTTTTGAAATCATATATTTTTTAATTTTGTTTAATGATTGTTTTAATTTTGAAACAAATTGCACAATTCCAATAAAATGTTTAATTTTTTTTTTTTTGATTATTTTGTAGCAAGTTTTTAAAAAAGAGCATAAAACATTTATTTTGTATTAGTTAATGAAGGCGAAAAATTCTAAATGCAACGTCTAAAGGAGAAGTGTAATTTAGCCAAGGTGTGTGTGTGCGTGGTTCTATGTGTGTGTGAGTGTGTGTGTTATAAAGATACATAAATTAAAATAGTATATGCATAGGTAAAAGAAGCGA